GCCCCGGGTGGGAGTCTTGGGAGGCAGGGGTCCGAGTACAGGGCGAAGGCCCTGCCCTGCAGCTACCGCAGCACAGGCCGGCGCCCCCCTGCTAGAGCCTGGGAAGGTCCTCTCTCCTGCTGCAGCTAGCCTGGCCTCACCTGTGTGTTGAACTAAATTTCCAGCCTTTTTTCTTTTTAATTTTTTGAGACAGTGTCTTGCTATGCAATTTAAGATGGTCTTGAATTTACTATGTAGCCCAGACTGGCCTTGAACTGGTGCCAATCTTTCTGCCTCAGTTTCCAAGACCTGAGAGTACAGGAATGCACCACACCTGGCACTCCTACCCCTTTTAAAATGTATATATTTGTCCATTTGTTTGTTGATACAGGGTCTTCCTATGTAGTTCAGGCTGGTCTTGAACTCACTATGTAGCAGGCTGGCCTGAAATGCACAGCAATCCTCCTGCCTCAGCCTCCTGAGTGCTGGGATTACAGACCTGTACCACTGTGCCTGGCTAAAATTTTTCATTTTGAGACAGGGTTCTGCCGCATGACTGAGCTGCCTAGACTGGGCTGTACCTGCCTTAGCCTCCCAGAGTGCTAGGCTTACTTACAGGTGTGCGCCAGGATCACCATCATGTCTCTTCGTGGCAACACCTGGGTTTTCCTTGGGGATTCAACCTTTCCTCCCAGGCAACCTCAGCAGGCACATGGCCCAAGCTTCCCCAGTCAGAGCAGCCCTTCTGCACTGGCCCAGGGAAGGATTTTGTTCCGGGTCTGTGCAGTCAGAGGAGACTCAAAGTTGCTGGGAGAAACAAACCCTCTTTCTACTGGGTTAGGAAGCTGTCAGGGCGTCCGCACAGTGCCAGCAGCACCCATCTTTTCACTGTGTGGACAGAGCTGGCCGGTGTGAGCCTAGGCAGAGAATGGCAGAGGCAGGTGCAGATGGATACATTCCGGACACCACCTGAGTTTCTGTCTGACCTTCCTACCCAGGGGAACGAGTTCCTTTTCCACATAAGCCAACAAGATTGAGTTAGGTTTCTGGCTCTTGCAAATGAAAAAGCCCTGGTCCATCTACCCTGGAGGGAGGCAAGACCAGAACACCTCCCAGGGAGCCAGGTACACACGGCAAAGATGGAGCAAAATGCAGGGACAAAGCTCAAACGCCCAGCAAGGCTCCCACGGCCTTCTCCAGGGGTCCAGCCCTAAAGAGGTGGAGGCGCCATGGACTTGCCCCAAATCAGTGCGGTGGATGTGAAATGCCAGGCACACTGTACGGCGGCCCGCTTCCCCGCCCCAGCTGTCCCTGGGAAACCACTCCAACTCACAGCCTCTGCCGCTGTGATGGCAGATGGCAGAGTGCACTAACTACCCAGGAAGGAGACTGTTATTTTCCATCCCCTCCTCTCCTCCTGCCCACCCCGTGTGCCCAGCAGAGTGCTGGACAGGGGACCCACAGGCGAGGTGGACACAGCCCTGCCATGGACAGCATCAGCCCAGGCTGGCCAGCAGCAGCCGGAGACTAATCCCAGCCCTCACTGGCACCTTCCACTGGAGGATACAGAGCACAGACGTCGGTGTTCCCAGGTTTCAGCACGAACACGCATGTGCACCCACACGTCCCTGTGCCCTTCCAGTCAGTCCCTAGCCTCAGATCCAGGCAACCACTGCTGTTTTCTGTCACCCTAAATTAACTTAGCATGTTCTAGAATGTTCTTTGCAAAGGAAATAAGTATGGGTCTGGTTTTCTTCACCGATCATGTGGGGTTTTTTCGTTGTTCTTTTTCACTGAGCATGTTTTGAGATTCATTGATGTTATGTATCAGATAAAGATCTTTATTTTACCCAACCACAATACTATTATGTAATACACAATTTCACCTAAAATATCTAGCAATAATTTCCTATTTTCATCCAGTAGGTTATATTCAAATTTACATGATTGCTGGAAAAATAAAGAACCTACCAAGCCGGGCATGGTGGTGCATGCCTGTAATCCCAGCACTTGGAGGCTGAGGTGGGAGGATTGCTGTGAGTTCAAGACCAGCCTGGGCTACATAGTGAGTTCCAGGTCAGTCTCAACTACATAGTGAGACCCTGTCTCAAAAAAACCCAAAAAATCAAAAACAAAAACAAAATAAAAAAGAACTTACCAGTCTTTCTTTGGAGGAGAGGGTAACTGGGGATTAAACCCAGAGCCTTTGCACTGAGCTACATCCCCAGGCCTCTTTTAATTTTTTAATTTTGAGACTGAGCCTCCCCATGTTATATTACCCAGGCTGGCCTCGAACTTGCAATCCTCCTGCCTCAGCCTCCCCAAGTGCTGGGATTACAGGTGCACACCACCACACCTGGCTTCCAGTTAGTCTTAATGTCACAAAAAGTAGGACAACTGATCATGTGCCTCCTGCTATGACTTCATAAGTATTCAGCATCCCCATAGTAGAACTCTTGCCAAAATAATAATAGTCTTATGGTGAAACCACTGTGGAAATCAGTATGGAGATGCCTCAAAGAACTACGATTGGAGGGCCCATTTGACGCAGCTATCCCCCTGCTGGGGATCTTCCCCACAGAATGAAAAGGATTGTACCACGGCGATGTATGTGCACTCATTTATGTTCATAGCAACACAACTCGTGATAGCTAAAACTTGGAAGCAGCCCAAATGCCCATCAACTGAAGGCTGGATAGGGAAGATGTGGTAGGTTTTTCGTTTGTTTTGTTTTAATGAATGGAGTACTACTCAGCCATAAAGAACGAGAAACTAGAGACATTTACAGCTAAATGGATGCACGCTGGGGCCATATTCAAGTGAAATAAATAGGACACACGTGTAAATACCAAATAGTTTCTCTAGTGTGAGTAACTGAAAAGTGTAAATAAGGTCGAAAAGGTATAATAGAGAATGTGAAATAGGAAGCAACGGGGCAAAGGGGAAGAGAAAGTGGGCGGGGATGGGGAAAGGAAAGATGGAAATGGAATTAAAATGAGAAAAAGGAAAAGTGGAAACAAAATATTTGTAGATGGGGGGTGGAGGGTGTGACTAGAGGGCAGGGGGAGGG